CTCCTCCTGTGCTGCAGCTCAGGCTCCATAAAAATCTTCTTCCAAATTTTTTTCCTTTTCTAGATTTTTAAAGTATGAATAGTAACACATATAAAAGTAAGCACTTACATCAAAAAATCTGAAAGCTCTCATAAACATAAAGTAATACAATTGAAGGTAAGAAAGCAAGAAATAAAATCCAATAGAAAGAAATGCATAATACAAATCACAACAGAAGTAAATGAAGAAATTAACAAATGTGTGCATTACCAGTGATGCAATAAGCTATTTCTTTTTCTTTTGACTTTTTATCTATTTATTTTACATACAAACCATAGCTTTCCCTCACCATCCTCCCCATTCCTGTCCCTCTCTCCCATTTCTCCTTCTCACCTCCAAATCCCCTCTTCTTCAGTATCCATCCAGGAAATGGCAGGTCCCCTATGATTATCAGTGAAACATGGCATATCAAGTTGCAGTAAGACTAAGACCTCCTCATGTATTAAGGTGGGCAAGGTGACCTAGTGTTAGACATAGAGTCCCACAAACCAGTAATAGAGTTGGAAACAGCTTCTGTTCTGCAATAATGGGAAAGTAGATCTAACTATTCCCTGTGAACAGATTGGTGCCTGGCCCAATTATCATCAGAGAGGCATTATCCAGCAATTGATGGAGGCAGATGCAGAGACCCACAGCCAAACTTTAGGCACAGTTCAGGAATCCTGTTGAAAAGGAGTAGAAAGGAGTGTAAGAGACAAAGGTATCAAGGACACCATGGGAAGGTTCACTCAGTCAAGTAACCTGGGCTCATAGGGACTCACAGAGACTGAACTGACAACCAGGGAGCCTGCATGACACTGACCTAGGCACTGTGCATATATGTTACAGTGGTGTAGCTTGGTCCTCTTATTGGACTCCTAACAACAGGAACAGGGGCTGTCTCTGACCCTAGTCTAGTTTTAACGTCTAACATTAGCAGAGCAGGTTGAGCTGTTAGCATGGAGGGAGGAAGAGAAACAAGGAACCACTGTGTGTTGCTGGTGGTAAGATTACCTGGTAGTGTGTGTTTACCATTAGCTCCAAGGAAGCAAATGTCAAGGAAATGAAGCAGAGAGGAGTAAGGAAATAAATAAGTCACAGAAGGGGCATTTGGTACATTGCCTATGTGGGAGGGGCTTACTTTGAGATCTGCTTCTGGTCTCTCTTGTACCCACTGACCATTGTCCTTGCCTGGGTGCATTATACATCGACTAGAGGCTGTCTGGTCTCTTCTGTGAGTGATCTCTGATCACCAGCTGTTTGGCACTAAGAATCTGCTCAGGATAAATGAAAAATCTACAGAAGCTGTGTCTCTTCTCTGTTTGAAACCAGTAAGTATTGCCTGCAACTTGTTCCCTTATCTACTGAAGGAAGACAAGTAAATCAGTTCTTATTTCACCCTGTTTTATCTGGGGTATTAGACCATGCTGTAGTCTAGAATATATCTGTAGCCAAAGCATACTTGCAGCAAAGCTATCCAGAGGCCAGATGACGTCTGCTCTTTGAGAAGGCATAGTGATGATACTCTGCTCTTCTCATTCATGTTGACTTAGGATAACCCAGTTTCAGTTGACCTCATCAGTCCTTGCCTTTCCTCCTGGTCTAAGTTTCCTTCACTTGGGTTTCATCTTTTCTCAGGATTAGAGAATTTTTCTAAGTCCCAGGATTGTGCAAGCCACTGAATTTGGGGACAAAAACTCCTTGGGCTTCTTATTCTTATGGCTGGTATTCCCCAGGCCTCATCACTATCAATGTAGCTGACCCTTGGTTTCCATCAATGCATTTATCATCTCAGTGTGGATGGACAACACAGGCGAATAGATCAAAGGACTGTAGATGATGAACAAGCTGAATATTCTTTGTACGACATAGGCTTTGTGAACTTGGTTAGTTTTCATCTTTGTGACTTACACTTCCAGGGGATAATCTAAAGGTAAAAGTTTGTTATAGATTCTGGTTTCAGCCCTTCCTTGTCTTGTTCCATAACTATAGGCCTATAGTAAAACTCAACACCAAAGGCCATGGCATACCAAAACTGCTCATCTTATCATGTCCAGGAAATACCAGGACAGAGACAAGGACAGGGACAAGATATGGATGTCAATGCAATACACCCAGTGCCCCCCTCTCACTATGTAGGCCCCACAACTGAGAAGGAAGACATCTGGATGACCTTGTTCCTATGACAGCTACAAGATTGTAGTTTCAAGTTTTACCCAGTGAAGAAAATCTCCTCCTATTGTTTCTGTTATATTGCTGCCAGAAAATAAATCCAATAAATGTTTTCTCTTCATTGAAAGATGTTCTTTCTGAATATGTAGAACCATGTGTAAAGATCATACTGACTCTCATCTGTTTTAGGAAGGTAATGCTATACCATGTTGCCTTTGTACCCTTAAGAGGGAATTCTATTTGTAAAACCCCATTCCCTTCCCACCTAAGACCAGACTCCATAGAATTCAATTTTAATTTCTTTGATTTGATGCATTCTCTGTTCTCCATACTCCATGAAATCATATTTCTTCTCTATGAATATGTTATTAACCCAAATAAGTAAGTTATCAACCCTTGGGATTTATTAAACATTTCTTCACTACAGACCACTTTCCCCCTTCTTGTTTAAATAATCATATTATCAGTGAGCATTGTGGAACTAAAGGGGATTGCTGGCAAAGTTCTAGGTAATAAAAGGAATATACAAGTCACATACCCTCCTTTGTAGGCTCAGTGACCAGCACAGAAAAGATGTTGCAAAATTTATAAGATCAAGAAGTGGTGTAGGCCTGAAGGGAGGGGGACTATTTCTTGGACATGACCAGACCATTGAACTCATTGACTCATATCAGCTGCGGTTGCTTGCACACAAAGAATCAAGTCATCCAGTATTCCAGCATGGATGGAGGAGGGGAACATCATTTCCTAGTCCTAGTTGAGGGGCTATTGACAGTCAATGGCTATAATAGAAAAGAGAATCAGTTTTCTTCAGAGGTTTTGTCACCAGTAGGTGACCATGCTCTGAGGGAAGTTCCCACACGTATGCTTACTTGGGCAGCAGTAGTTTGATACAATAATTTAGTTTTGTTAAGGACATGGAAGGGATCTAGAAGAAACCAGAGGGAGGAATAAGAATGACTCATTAAAATACATTCATGCACGTATAGATTCTTAAAAGAGCAAATAAAATATGATATTGTTTATAAATGAGTAAACAACACACAACTTGCTATTCTAAACTTTGTCTTTGGAATAGCTGTGGTGGCACACACCTGTAATCTCAGCATTCAGGTCACTGAGGCAGAATGATGGAGACACTGAGGCCTTCCTTCTGAGCTATTTGGTGAGATGCCATCTAAAAGAAAAAAGCTTTGTGCTAGTGTAGGTTTCTTTCTTAGGAGATATGAGGATGCATTTCAATTGCTCATTAATATTCATATCAAAATATAAGTTCATTTCTCTAGAATCTCCTTTAATAAATGAAAATTTTCATAAAATAAAACTAAGTGAAATATGCAATACAATTGATGTTCTGATTTATCAAGGAATTTCATGCCTTAAGTTTGCTCTCCTTATTTAGTAGAAATGATAAAAAAAAGAATCACCCAGGTTACATAACCAACCTACAATGGCACAGAGAGTACATTCCCATCCCAAAGGGATGAATAGGAAGAAAGCAAGGACAGATCAGACCAAAGAACCAAACCCAGGAGGGAAGATACTAGATCCTGTAGCTCCCTTAACAACAGCTTGGCCTTCAGATTCAAAGGGCTTACTTATATGGTATTGCCCCTCCACTTTGGAATGCAGTCTCTTTCAGACTGGTTCTACTCCTTATACTTATCTTTCCTTGGGAGAGGTCTCATGTATCTCTTATCTCCAGTCTCTTCGGAATTCTATCAAAAATCCAGGCTTTGTTTTATAGCTTCATATTACATTCTCTCAGAGCCTCCTTGCAATAGTTCCAACCCTGCAACATACCTGGACTGAGCAGAATTCCTAAACTACAGAGACCCCTTCACATTTTCATGTTTTATATCTACAATTATCTGTGTCCCGTTTCTACAATTATGTACAATTTTACTCCCAAATTATCGCCATTCCCCCGCTGTGCTTCACTTCTTTTTTCCGTGCACCTGTGGTGTCCATCACTTCTGACCCCCATTCTCAAATCCCACGTTTTGGTGCCGTTTCTCAGCATCATCTATATCTGCCCTTCGTTGATGCACCGTTTCTCACGAATGTCTCTTTTAGCCCCATGTTTGGGAGCCATTTCTCACAGACTGATGTCTTTGGAGCTGCGATCGGAACCAGTTGAACGACTGATCCCACGTCTGACACTGAGTGGAGGAGTGTGGAAGAAGGTAATCTAGCTATCCAATGAAATTAAAGAAGAGACAGGGATATCTGATCATACCGGGAGGGCAATCAGTTATTACTGAAGGTCAAGGTTTATTGATCCATCATCTTAAGTAATCATCCAAAAGAAAGGGGAATGGCAGGAGACATGTATAATCTTGTATAAAGGGCTGACAACAGATATTTCCCTAAATCCTAGAGGCACTCCTCTGCTGCACGTACTCAAGCCCTCAGGCATCTCTACCTCAGCACGTCTCACTAGTCTTCAGGGTGTGAGTAGACTCACCCTGGCCCAAGGCTATTGTTATTTAGAATAGGAGTCATTCTTCACTGAGGCCCAGATATCTAGCAGCCATTAGTTGACATCTAAAAGACAATAGAGATTCTGGGCTCTCTACAACTCATGACCAGATGGAAGAGATTTCCAAAACATACGACCGGACAGTTAGAGATATAGTGATTCATGGAGGATCTAGACTACCCCCAGGCTATCTGCTCAGTCCCTGGACTGGGGTCCTCCTGGCTTTCCCTTCCAGCCAGGGCTTCTATATAGGCGTGCATTGCTGCAGCTGGGCTCTGAGTGCTCTGTCCTGCCTTTTGCTGCTTTGGGTTCTAGGATCCTCACAACAATGGAAAAGCACTGCCTGCTGTTTCTGCTGAGCCTCGCCCTGTTGCTGGGCTTCCTACAAGGTGAGATCCTGGCTAGTGGAGGGGCCAGTACTGAATGGCCGTCATATTGAAAAATGACCCTGGGCTTTGGGGAGGTGAGGAATATGAGGTTAGACCCTACTGCCTTTAGGGTCCATCTCTACACCTTTCCTCCCCACATCCGCACATCCCTTTCTTCCCTTCCCTTGTACTATCCTCATTCCCACATTCTCGTTGTCCTGTCCCCGGTGCTCCCTTTCTGGTCCTTCCATCCCTCTTCTATTGTTTTCCTTCACATGTAAACATCCCTGCATCCGAACCTTACTGTTCATGGACCTAAATTAGGACTGGCAATGGGGCAAGGAAGGCCCTTGACAGAACAAAGACAATGAAGCGATGGGGTGAGTTTGTCTAGCCATGGGTGGCTGGCTCCGGCACCCAGTCTCAGAGCTTTTGCCTTCCTCCTCACAGCCTTGTCCATTTCCAGGCTGTGACTTGGGGGGAAACCTTCTGCATCTCAAGCTTTGGCAGTTGTTTCTGGCTTGTTGACCAGAGCCAGGGGCTCAGTTCTCGTCGGATGAATGGGCCTCTCAGGGTCGCTTTCGTCTTTGCAGCACTGTCATGCTTCCAGTGTGAGCTCCTGAACTCGGAGGGCATTTGCGAGAAAGGAGGAAGCACCTGCGAGACTGAAAGTGACCAGCAGTGTGCTCTGGTGGAGGTCTCTACAGGTGTGTGTGCCTGGGCGGGTCTCAGGGTGACAGCTTGCTCACAGGGCATGAAGTCCTTCTCAGTGCTGACTACAAAAGCAGTGTGTGTGAGGACCTGCCTCTCTGGGAAGACAAAAAGTCTCCTGTGCTTTTGGAACTTGTCGTTCATGGTCAGACAAGCAAACTTGTTGAGGGAGGAAAGTGCTTTGTGTCTCTGGGTGTTCCTCGGGGACATTCTGGGTGAACATACCCAGGGATGAGAACATTTGGACTCTAAAACTCCACTCAGTGCTTTAGAGAATGCAGGGCCTGCCTTTGGCCAAATTAGTGCTTGAGAGGTGATGGCCAAGAGAAGTCCCCATGGTTACCTCATGGCTTTGGACCTTTCAGCTAGGAGCCGGATCCTCCTCATTATTGAATAGCTGAGTCCTTCCACAAATGCTTATGCTTTTCCTTTTGCCTTTTGTCCTGACCAGGTCCCAGGATCCAGTACACGATCCAGGAATGTTCTAACCTGTGCATCAATCAAACTTTTACAGAAAAATACATCACTGTGAAATATGTATGCTGCAACAGCTCATCTTTCTGTAATCATCCTTAGAGGCCCAGTCCTTTCTTGGCCTGTTCTATTGCAGGTGAGCCCTTATTCCTTCCCTGTGCTACTGTAGCCTGGAAATGCTTGGCCATCTATTCCCAGGACTACCCGAAGCTGACACTTGTATGCCAGATGTCGACACTCCAGCCGTTCCGTTGAGGCCAGAGATGCTCTCTGCTCCCCATCTTTTTGGTGCTTCACGTTCCTCAGATTCTGTTTTCCTTCCTTCTCTTTCTCCTTTCTTCCCTTCCTCCATCCTGCACTGGCTGACATGCTGCACGCTCTCTCCACAGTTAAATTTTTATCAGCAAGTGTGTCCTCACTGATACAAACTGCAGTAAGACGCTTATTCTGTCCAGGTGACTGTGACACACCTGACACCTACTCTTGAGGAAGCTTCTGTTCAGTGATGCTTTTTCTGCCAGGCTAATAATCCCACCATACACTGCAGAAACACAGCTTTTTTCCATGTTCAGGTGTGTATTTCAGAGCTTTTATAATCACGAATACATCATAACACGTGTTTGTGTGTGAGTATGAACACTTATACACTTACAAATATAAAAAAAATAATCACCTTTGTTTGCAGTGCTGTCCACTGAATCATGGTCAAGGAGCATGCCAGAAAGCATTGTACTACTGACACATGTCTGGAGGCCTGTGCCCTGCTTTCTACTTTATACATCTTAGACTTCTTTTCTAGTCTTACATACATATTACCATGCTCTTTTATGTTTCGTCAGGCACTATATGCCTCACAAAGTTTATTATACTGGGTCTATATGGTGGTTTGTAACATTTTCAATAAAACAGTTTTGCTTTTGCTTATTTATTATGTGTGTGTTTGTTAACATATGCATGTTATGGTGAGAGAGACAGAAAGAGAGAGGGGGGAGATCCCCAGGACCCCAGACCCCTAAAGGTTTAAGTCTATGACCAGTCAGGTAAATATTCTGTGTTTGTTTGTTTGTTTGTTTCTATTGTTATTTGTTGCGCTGGCCTGGAAAGTTCTGTGTCCTGAATTCTGTGACAGGTTTGTGATTTTGCCTTTTCGTGACTTTTGTGGTTTTGTTTTTGGTTTCCTGGTGGACAATCTGAAACTGTAAGAAACAGATCAAGCAGACCTTGGCAAACATGCTATAAGGTCAGATCTGGAGTCGCTGAGAGATGTCTCAGCTTCTTGGTTTCTTGTCTGGGCGGGAATCCCACCATCTGAATCTGAATTTGGGTAAAAATCCAGCTAATTGATACACCATCTGAATCTGAGTAGCTACTGGGGAGTTTGCCTCCTGACTGTGAATCTGAAACTTGCAAGTCTTTGAGATGGGCCCTTTTATTTTGTCTAAGTGCTCTGTTTGTTTGTCTTGATGGTACTGAGAGTACAGACCTGCCTGGGATACAACCTAACGTGGGAGAGACAGCCTCCTCTTCTCTAGATCTCTGCCTGACCCATTGAAATGACATAAAGCAGAAAATCTGGGATAGTGACTAAAAATGATGGAAAAAATTTTTTCTTTCAGGTACACTGACAGCCAACGACACTGTGCTCTCCAGCGCTGTTCCCCTCCCTTCTAGTCTGTATACTTTATACTTTTGCTTCCACAAAAAAATATGGGTTAATAGTGATTTATGGGGGCTTCACACAGCAGCTCCCATGGGAGATGGATCACCCTAGCTGCTGGCTGTAGGCCGGTTCTCCCCTGATGCCTGGATGCAGTCTTTCTGTGCTTCGCCTCACCTAGCGCAGCCAGCAACCAGCTCAAGCAGAATGGCCAAGGTACAGGTTTTAACGGGTTAACATGATGTTACTGCCATCTGTACATCCTTAGGAATAAGATGTCTGTTCAAGTCTTTTGCCCATTTTCTACTTGGATCATTTGTTCATGTCACTGTTGAGTTTTATGTAGGTTCTCTATCAGACATGTGGCTGCTTAACTTTTTGACATAACTTGTACCAAAAAAGTAAGTGCATTTTACCAGCCCTTCATGCATGGCCAATCACTGACAAAAGAGATGTGGGGCTGGGAGTAACCTCAGTCAGTAGAGCAAGAGACTCCTATTTCTGACTTGTGTCTTCCCCCTTTTAAGAAGCAATGAACTCTACTCTGTTAATTAGAGTTTTCTGTTCTAAAAAGCTGTGTAAACTTTGTAATTTAACAGTCACCCAGGTGATAATGGTTTTCAAGACTTAAGGGTATTTTATTTTTGCTATGAGTTACTCCGTTTCCTCAGCCTAGACAGAGGGACAATCTAGTCAGCTTCTGCCAACAAACTCTGCTGCCAGACATAATTCATTTACCTTTAAGCCTTTTATTTTGGTCACTGACAGTTTTCTTCTTCCACTGGCTCTGTTGTACATGGCTTGTTTGCAGAATGCTGTACCTTTCCAGGGACAGGTAGGGCACACATTACATGCAAAAAAAATCTATTTGTTACATCTACAGCAGATCTCCATTCTTGTCACTGACAGTTTTAAGTTACTCTGTCTCTTCAAATGTCCTGTCTGTTTGCTAAGTTAAAATCAGTTACAGTCAGACTGGAGGGCTCTGAATAAATATCCCTCCACAGCCTCTCAGTTTTAATCCAGTTCTCCAGACAGATCCTAAACTAATGACATTGTAGCCATACTAAGCACAGAAAAAATTTATGACAGGAATAAACCTTACTCAGTCTCCTATATATGTTTTCAAAGGTTAAGCTTAAAATAAATAACTAAAAACAAAGTCCAGATTTAGCTAGACAATACTCTTAATGCTTCCAGAGATCTACAGAATATAACATTTAAAATCTTAACTTAAAAAAAACTCCTCCACTGCTGGTGGGAATACCAACTCGTACAGCCACTTTGGAAATCAGTATGGAGATTCCTCAGGAAAATGGGAATGAATCTACCACAAGACCCAGCAATTCCACTCTTAGGCATATATCCAAATGAGGCAAATTCATACAACAAGGGCATCTGCTCCACTATGTTCATAGCAGCATTATTTGTAATAGCCAGAACCTGGAAGCAACCTAGATGCCCCTCAACTGAAGAGTGGATAGAGAAAATGTGGTATATTTACACAATGGAGTATTACTCAGCAGAAAAAAAGTGGAATCTTGAAATTCGCAGGTAAATGGATGGCACTGGAAGAAACCATCCTGAGTGAGGTAGCCCAGTCACAAAAAGACAAACATGGTGTGTACTCACTCATATATGGATTTTAAACATGGATCAGGAGAGTGTCATTCTGCACTTCCACTGACAGAGAGTCTGGGAAACAGCAAAGAACCTAAAAGAGATATGCATGGTACCCCAGAAAGAGGAATGAGGCAAGATCCTCTGAACAGATGGGGAACACGGCGAGGGGTGAGGGGTGAGTGGGAGCTTGGAAGAAGAGGAGGGGGTGGGGAAGAGAGAGTAGGACGTGGAGGAACAGGAAGGTTGAGTCGGGGGTAGAATAGGGGGAAGAGAGAATCATAGGTTAGAAGACAGATAGTGTGACCTCTAGTGATCTAAAGGGATGACACCAATTGGCAAGCTAAGCAATAGTGGAGAGACCACCTCGAATGCCCATTCCTGATAATGAACTTGATGTCTATAACAATTCTGGAGCCTTCATCCAGTGACTGATAGAAGCAGAGGCAAACACCCACAGTTAAACACTGAACTGAACCCAGGGAACCCAGTGACAGGGAGAGAGGAGTGATGAGCAAATTGGCAAAGGATGGGCTGGCAAAACCAGCAGAGACAGCTGATCTGAGCAGGGGAGAGCTGTTGGACCCCAGACCGACAGCTGGGAGGCCAGCATGGGACTGATCCAGACCCCCTGAATGTGAGAGTCAGTGAGGAGGCCTGGGCAACCTATGGAGCCCTGGGCAGTGGATCAGTGTTTATCCCTGGCATACAAACAGACTTCGTGTGTCCATAACACAAAGAGGGATGCTCTCTCAGCCTAGTCTCTTAGGGGAGTGCCTGGACCCTGTCCTGAGTGAAATGACAGACTCTAGATATCCCCTATGTGGCAGGAAGTGGCGATAGGGTGGGAGGCTGGGGGGAATGGTGGGGGGGTGTAGGAGGAGGGGAGGGAGAGGGAACTGGGATTGACATGTGAAACAAGCTATTTAAAATTAAAATAATAAAAAATATATTTTTAGACGTGTTCAACATTCTTAGCTATCAGGGAAATGCCAATTAAACCTACTTTAAGATTCCATGTCACCCCAGTCAGAATGAAAAAAAAACTTATAATAACAGACAGAAACTCCCAGATCCTGACAGTGACCCAAAGTCTCCAAAGAAGATTACAGGACACCTTGATGTCTACACAACACTGACCAGGAGGCAAGATGCCCCAATGCACACCTGCTGCCAGGACCTGTCCCAGACTGTGGACAACCAATATGACATTGGAGTATTGATTGTATCCCCTTTGACTAGACA